CTATTATACAAAGTTCGGGTAACGTTTGCCATAGTTATCAAACTCCTCTTCTATAAAAATAAGCAAAGAACGAAGTGTGTGAATATTTTTATTTATTAATTCATGAAGTGCTTTCGGCTATTAAGCCATCGTCAGGACACCATTCAATTTTTATACAAAAGACACAAAGTATCAAAATGGTGAATAAGTCATATTTTCTTAACTGTTATTGATCTGAACTACCTACATAAATTTTCTTCCATCTATTGCATCCATAATAACCCTCAGTGACTTCACAAATGTTCATCAGCGTATCAGAATCAATACAAAAACTCATTGTTTTTTATGTGATTTTACTAAATGTAGTTAGTACTCAAATTACATACTTTTTATTCTAAAATATCCTTGTATAGAAAATTTTCCGATAATTTCTCTACTTTTTCGAGTATTTTCATTCTGCGGTCATCCAGAAGTGCTTTTATTAATTTTTTGTTCGTTTTTTGGAGTAGCAGTTTATGCGCACAAAATGTATTTAACTTGACTTGTTTGTTTAACAATTTTTCATTTAAATTTATAAAACTTCTGGTCTATTGTAGCTCGAAAATATAGTTACATCAGCATGTCGACTAATTTTTCAAGTACTTCAAGTATTAGAATGTGGCAGGTAATTACACACTTTTTACATTTGCTTTAAACGTGCAATTTTTCAACTTGTGGTCTCAACAGAGTTCTCTATTATTTAAAACCGTCTCTGTCTACCTACGCGTATGTTGGTGAAAATATTCAGAATTTTTTAATTACTGGGTCGCATTTTACGGTAGAGTTATTTGATATTCGATATAGATATATAATGTAGGTATATGTTACATATTAATTTTTTATTCTTTTCTAAATTAAACATTTAATTGCAAGATTAAACGGTTTAAACTAATTTATTCATGTTATATCCAATTAGTGAAACTTGTGGAACGTTGTGATTCTATCTTTCTTTGAACATAAAATACCCATTTACAATACTTAATGTTATATTGAAATGTATGTCTATTGACTTGTAACGGTTTATACATATAGTGCACATAGTTTTTTATCTTCTTCTTCCCTTCTTTTTCTTCTTGTTTCTTTTTTTCTACAAACCCTTCTACGGCAACCGATTATTTCTTATTTTTTGTTCATATCTCTTATTTCTTTCACTGTTTGTTCCTATTTCTTCTATTCTCTTTTAAAATATGATTCGGGGTCTACATCTTTTCTTTTTTTCAAGTAAGGCTTTCTTATTAACAAAACGTTAGCCCCCTTAGGGTAACGGAATGTTTCTTAGTTTTCGTTTCATAAAATGTTTTAATTTCTTTTGGTTCTTTATCCTTACCTCTTTTATTCTCTTTGGCAATGAGTTCCTGGGTTTGTATCTTTTCTTTTTCCCTGAGTTTTTAAATAATTTGACTAATCAAAGTGTTTACATAGATGATGATCGTACCTCATTGAATGGATTGCTTTTGGACAGTATACTATTATATTACAATTAGTACCTATTTTACATATTTCGAATCTCGTTCTTAATCTCTAGCTTTAATTTTGTTATTCCAGTTATTATCTATATGAAGGAACGACAATTTCACTATCGGTTCTTTAAAAACGTGTTAATTCGTTATTAAAGATGCTTATTTTGATATGATTTTGATGTTTGCTCATTTTTTTATAACAAAATAAGGATAATATCGCAGTTTAAGCCCCCATTTTTTAACGACTCAAAAAATGAGGAGGTTCTAAATTCGTCGGTATATATTTTTTATGTATGTTCAGCGATAATTCTTTAACACGGTGTCCCATTTCAATGAGGATACTTTAGGGGTGGCCCCATATAAATTTGGTCAAAATCTAATGATTGGGTCCATGAGAAAATCCTCAAACTCTTCATTTTTTATGTATGTTTAGCGATAATTCTTTACCACCTTGTCCGATTTTTATGACTCTTTTTTTGTTAGTAAGGGGGTTCTCAGGAATGGTCCAATTTGGTTAAGATGTGGTGATGGCATTTGCACGATTTTGAAGTCGGTTTTTTAAAATTACTTTTAATGGTTGTTCTATTTTCATTATTTTTTTAAACTAATAAATGTAGGTTTAACATGGGCAAAAATTTTGCAATGTTTTATAATATCATAACTGATTATTTAAGAATTTGATAATTTCCTGAATACAAAATATTTCTTAGAAATAAAACAGGAATTTATAAAATTAAATTTATTCATTTATACCGGGTGATCCAGAATGTTGTGAATAAAATTTAATGGCAGATTTTACATCTAAAAACATGATATTTAGTGTTTAAACTGGGTGGTATAAGATTGATCAAAAACATTTGATCGAATTGTAAATTTGATCTAAAATACATTTTACAATTGATCTAAAATATATTTTATCGTAAAGATAGTAGATCTAAAATTCACTAGATCGAAAGGACAATATATCGAAAATCAACATTAAAAGTAATAAAATATAAAAAAATCACACGAATATTGGAATGGAAAACTTTATTTATGTATTGGGAACTAATGGCAAATTTTTCGATGATCTCAAACTATAGCTGCCTCATTTAACAAATTTTCTACATACAATACCGTAAATTTGGATTTTTTTTTAGAGCTTAACGTTTATTTATCTTCATTGAACTTAAAGAGCATTGCGATTAATTCGCACAAAATATGTGGTCAAATGGTTTTCGGATGGGACATTTTAGTTAAATTAGTTAAGTTTTTATCCTAACCTGTCCGGTCTGGAGCCCGCAGGTCACTTCGCAAAAAATATATATAAAATGAGAAAAAAAACTAATCTTATTTTTCTAACCTGTTTTTTATTTTTCTCATCTTTTGTGTATATTTTTTTGCGAAGCAACTCGCGGTGACTAGGCTGCACACTGCACAGGTTTGATAAATTAGTTAAGTTTTTTTTAGTTTTTCTTATGTAATATACAGTTTTTCAATCAATTGCTTTTTCTATCAAATCTTCTTCGATCATTGTTCTTGTCGATCTTTTTTTTTTTTCGATCATTTTTATTTTCGATCATTGTTCTTTTCGTTCATATTTCTTTTCGTTCATATTTTTTTTCGATCATTTTTCTTTTTGATCATTTTTTTACGATCAATTGTTATTCGATAAACTGTTTTTTTGATCAATTTTCTGCCACCCGTTTAAACTTTTTGTCTTTAACCCTTTCACTGCGGGAACCGGATAAATACGTAAAATAATTTTGTGTTCATACAAAGGGAACCGGATAAATACGCGCGACTTTTATGTGTATTAATTATTGCAGGATCTCATCGAATACATTGTTCTATACATATTCTGTGTTGCCCATAGGTGCTAGTGAGTTTCCTTGCAAAAACGTTTACAACATTTTTAAAAACTTGAGCGCTTCACTGAATCCGCAATTTCTTATCAGCGACGAACTTTAAATTTTTATTTTGTTCGTAATGCATTTTTAAGTAATAAGTCTTGTTTTGCTGTTAGTTAGTTGATGTTGGGGTGATAACTTGTTACATTCAAATTCTATTACTTTACTTACGAGTCGGGGATTTCTTAAAGTGGCAGTGATTCCCCTTAACTGCATTTATATATTCTGAAATTAAATCAGCTTATTGTAATTTAAAATTTTAATAACAATTGAGTTTTAAAAGCTACACTATATTATAAAGTATTTTGGTTTACAGTGAAATAATTAGTGTATTTTAAACTATCAATTTTGTTCAATATTTTTATGTAATATAATATTTAGAGTAAATTTTTTAAAAATTGTTTATTTGTAATATTATTTATGTATATAGGAATTGGGCTAAGTAGAATATATCATTAAGTCACTAAATAGGCTGCCAATTCTAATAAATTGAGTTCGCTGTGAAACATAGTCATTGAAAAAGTATAACGTTAATTCCCTTATGCCTATTCTTTCTAATAACAATCTATGCTCAACAGTGCCAAATGTCTATGTCTATTCTTTCTAATAACAATCTAACAATATCGCTAGGCATTTTTTATTGTTGTTAATACAATTAATAATATTTTGCACAAAGTCTAGAAGTGCATCCTGACAACAAATATTCTTCCTAAAATCATATTGACTTGTACTTTATATTTTGATTTGTTCAATAAATTCAATTAACATTTTTTTCAAACATTGTTCAAAAGGTTTTGAAATATTATCTATGACAACACTTAGTGACTAGTTCTTTCTTTTTACTGATTTATAGACGTATGTTATTACATATTCTTTTATTGATATTGGAATTTTGGTAGTCGTTAATACCTATTTTGTTAAAAATGTGTGCCAAAAAGATGTTAAATTTTTAATTGTAACTTCCGATAATGCATCTAGGCCACTTATTGATTTATTTTTGAACAGCAATATATATTTTATGATTTCGTTGTTTATAATGGGATAAATACGAAGAGAATAGAATTATGTGTTATAGTAGAAGCTGTACTATTAGACTGTCAATTTTTATATAATTTTATTACCTATTTCTGTCCAAACATTATTGAAAACATTTCCTTAATTTTATTTCACTTAAATTTGTCTCCCTTTTTATTTATGAAATTTTAACTTTTTATTGTGTCCCAAATTTCTTAATTATTATTTTTTTCATTTGTAATTTTAGATTGGTAATATTTATTTTTTAAGTCTCTAATTAATTTGGTTAAAAAAGTTCAGTACCTTCTGTATTCTTGCAGAAGTTCATTACTATTTTTATTTTTAAGATATTATTTTTTAGGTAATTTGTACATCTTTTAGATTTAATTTTGCCCAGAGTAATCCAGGGTTTGATCTTATAATTTTTATTATTATTCCTTCTAATTTGTTTAGTTTTTTATTAATATGCTCTTTAAATAATTTAATAAATTTATTACAGTTTTTTCAGAATCATTATTTTTAAAAACGTTGGTCCTCAGTTATTTGTGTTCCTCAATAAACCCTCACGAATAACTCAGAAAGTCTCCTATTGATAAAAATCTCTTCAGAATTTACTTACATCAAAAATTGCACTTGTATAAAACAACACTCATAATTTACCATCCTTCAGTTGACCGTAATCACATCTTACACACAATCAGATAAAACTCACTATACACAATTACGAGAGAAAGGGATAGATAGATGGATCCGTTAATAACCGGCGTGTGTCAAGAAGAAAACTACTGTAGAGTTGCGTGGTTTCTCGTCTAACTGCTCGTTGGTATCTTCGAGGAAATTTCAAGAATGTTGAGTCTTATACCGATAGAAGGTGGAAGAAATAGTACCGTAAGTAAAGAGTATCTTCTTAAGAAGCATTTTAGGTAATTTTTTGACAAGTGGGAGGCAATAGGCTAGAAAAATAGATACTATATAATAAACTTATCAGAAAAAAATTGATTTTTAGATTTTATTTATGTTGTCTTGCATGTTATGTTAATTAATAAATATACTACAGAATATGGAGATCAAATGTATAGGGTGATCCTTTTAAAAAATCAAACTTAATGGTCTTTCGGTAAAAGTGGAAGTAAGTCATTTTGCATAAATGTCAATTCTAAATTATGCCAAACCGCTTTATAATTAAAAGAGATATTATTGTGGCCCTGGTTTCATTGTCATCCGGTGGATTTATTATCGAACAGATTTAATAGAACATTATTGAACCAAATATTTTTAAACCAAAAACATTGGAGTCTAACAAACATTTTTGTTTATTTTTATATTTGCATTTTTTTCAATTATTATTTCTAATTATTAAATATTAATTTATTTCTATTACAATTCGTAGATATTTTCTATCTAAACTGTTCGCCACTCGAACTTACACATAGAGATTTTTAAGCAAAATTTAAAGTTTAATATTTTCAACAGAAATGCAAATAACTGAAAGCAGCTTGCAGATTTTAAGAGCAATTTTTTTTTTTTGGAATTAAGCTGCGTGAGGTATATTTATCGTAGGACCATAGGTGATCAATGAAGTCATGCAAAAAAATCCCCAATGCCCATATTTATGATCGACTGTAATTTCTACGCGTCAATTTCAAAGTAGGCATTGAAAAAACAAATTTGTTGCTATGGAATTAAAAACATTATTTTATAAATAATCTGACACATGTCATCTCAATGTTATAATTTTGTAAATGTGAATTAATATGACGCGTTTAACCACGGCAGAAAAAGAAAATTCCATTCGATTTATCAACGAAGAAATGTTAAAAAAGCAAATTGCGCACATTTACAATGTCAGTCAAAAGACATTTTATAATTTGAACTGTTGCGTCGAAACTGCTGGTGATCATAATTATGAGCATGGGGGTGGACATACAATAAAAAATCAAAGAACCGAAATAATATTAGAGAGAAATTATACAGAATAGAACAAAGAATTCTAGAAAACTAAATGACTCATTAAGGCAACAAACTAGGGTAAGTTTCGGACAGAACAGTGAGAAGAACATTAAATAAAAACAACTTTTTCAAAAACAACATAATACCAAACATTTTAAATTATAGAGCCCATCGCAAAGCAAAATGTTTGCGGTTATTTCAACACCATAGAGCAAATAGGCGGGCAGGGGCAAATTGGCATGCGAATTGGGGTAATCCAGCGTGGATCCATTGTTTATTTACTGACGAAACAAGATTTAATTTGATTCACTTCGATGGCCGAATGTTAGTTTGGAGAGGGCCAAATCAGCGGTATTTGGAGGAAAATATGGCCCCTCAAGAGGCATTTGGTGGCGGAGGTGTTGTGTGGTGAGGTATTATAAGAAATGGTAAAACCGAGCTATTCTTTACCAACCAAACCGTTAACGCTACTGTTTATCAGGAGGAAATTTTGGAATCTATTGTTTCTTTTGCTCGAAATTACGGTCCAAAATTTCTATTGGTGGATGACAACTTTTGACCTCACAGAGCGCGAAGGATCACAGAGTTTTTGCAGGCACAGAACATCAATAGGATGGACTGGCCTGCAAAGTCTCCGAATCCTAATATCATCGAACACGTTTGGTCGTATTGAAAACTTAAAGTAAGGTCGCGTTGATGTGTACCGTGAAACCTAAGAAACGCTTAGTGAGGCTATTCGTGAAGAATGGGAGAATATTCCACAAGATTTAATAAATAATCTTGTGGATATTCTAACAAATCGATATTGGGAAGTAATACGTCGACCAACAAAATATTAGTTTATTTTTTTTTAACTAATGTACCTACTTAACTTCGGGTAAATTATTATCAAAGATTAGGTATTTAAAGATAGGATATAATAACCCAATTTCATTGTAAAATACGAAAATGCAAGGTTTTAATTCCCATCTTTGACGCAGTTGGTTCAAAACATATATTGTAGAATATAATGTAATAAACTTGTTCTTGTCGCTACGTTTTTGTCTATTATCGACCCGGTGTAAATTTCAAGCCTCAAATAAAATGCTTAGACCATAGAAAATCTACATTAAATAGGGATTCCAAATCCGTAAAAATCATCAAGAGCCGTCAATCCAATGTCAAGTTATAGAATTTAAAAAATTTTGCGACCCAAATTTTATGTTTAGTAGTGTGTACAAGACTTAAAGGCCTTACTACAAAAACTGACAAATCGTCTAGAGATATTGATGTTACCTTAGTAATAAACCATATTGAAACGACCAAAAAAATTATTTGCGGAAATTTTACTCATGCAAACTTCTTGATTTTTTGCATGACTTCATTGGTCACCCCATATGTAATAAACCTATGGCTCTACGATAAATATACGTCATGCAGCTTAGTCTGTAAAAAACTAGCCCTTAAAATCTTCAAGCCGCGTTTAAAAGTTGGCCTAAAAATCTCTATGTGTTAAGAGTGACCTGCAGTTTATTTGCTTCAAAAATCTTATTTTTACTATATAAGGTCAAGATATTGAAAATATAATTGTCTTTTGTACTTTCTAATGCTTTATTTAAAAAAAAGTAATTGGAAATGATTTTTGTGGCTTGTCGTATATATTGACATTTTAAGGATTTAAGATAGTTGAACATTTTGAATTGATTCATCATAATATTATAAAAAATCACTTTGTAATAATCTATCTTTTTGTATCAACATATGCAGAAATCTTTGTTGGTAAACTTCAGGTGCATACAGGTATCTTCTTCCAGTATAACTTCTATTCCAAACTCTTCGTGTCACACCTTGTATACTTTTGATGCGTTTTTTTTATCCATTATAATATTTTTAGATATTTTTATAGAATTTGACCTCATGTAAATTTTGTTCTATGTATATATTTTATTTCTGTATTATTTATTAATTGAACATAACAACGTTATCAATAATTATTGACTGCACCTGAAGATGGAAATAAATCCGAAACATATGTAATGCTTCCTAAATAAAAACTGTAACCAAAATTATCAAAGACCTTTTATTTATTTGTATAAAATAATAATGTTTGTTTCAAATATAAATAATAGTATACAAATACAATAAAACTAATTAACATATAAACATTTGCATCCTGCTGAGACATTTGTTCATGTCTGTGTGTAGGAATTAAAAATACGTATACATATAGTTATTTTTAAAAGGTTTAAAAAATCTCAAAGGTATCTAGATTTATATAATAAACCCCTTAATGTATTACTGATATTAGTAATTTAAAAATCACACTTAAGATGTTCATCTATGATAATCTCTAAATACTTAATTGCTTCTGGAATTTCGGTGTTTTCATTAATATTCAGTTAGCAAAATATTTATGTATGAAGTAAGTGGTAAGTTTTGATTTTATTCTGTATTCAGAGTAAGTTTATTTAATGGAAACCATTTTTTAATAGTTTTAAAGTCATCTTGAATATCTACTTTTAACGAATTTCTATTTTTTGACTAATAAGTTATTATCTTGTATTTTTAATTGCATTTAACTGTTTATATACAAAGTAAAGAAAGTACAATTCCTTGTGGGACCTCATAAGCAACTGTACTTGAACCACTAAATGTTCCATCAATATTTGCATATTGTATTCTCTTGTCGAGGTAACCTTCTAATATTTTATAAATTTTTCCTCTCAGGCCGTAATATGCAATAATTGTTTTTGACAAACTGTATCGAAGGCTTTAGAAAAATCGACAAAGATGGAAATTGCAGGTGTTTTTGAATCTAAAACCAGGTATAATTTCGAAGTTAAAACCTGTAATGCATCTTCTGTAAAACTTTTTTCTCTAAAGCCATATTGTCTATTAGACAAAATGTTAAATGTATCTAAATATTTTGTTATTTCAGATTTTAAATTTTTTTCATATTTTGAAAATATCGAAAGTCGATAATTTTGAACTTTACTTTTGTCTTCATTTCTCTAGAGAGACTTGATTACTCCAATTTTTAGACACTCTGTGGAAAACTTTTGTTTATGAAATAAATAGGCAGTTCATCTACCAATAGGTTCCACAGTAGAGGAGAAAGGACTTCACATTGTGGGTATCCCCTGTGGAAATTTCCCTGTATTGTTTTACTCAATATTTGTGCCTGTGCTTGCCGTCCTCTTAACATGTTACTTGTCCACCAGCAGATGGTGTCTTCTATTCCATGTTTGCGAGCGGCAGCTACCATTGATTTAAAGGAGGTGTTATCAAAAGCTCCTTCTATGTCAAAAAATGCTCCTAGGACTATTTCTTGGTTACCGAGTCCCTATCTATCTTGGTTTTTAAGATGTAGATAGAGCCGACTCACAAGATTTTCCGGATTTATAGGTATGTTGGTTTGTATGAAATGGCCCCTGTATCATAGTGGTTTGCCGGACATTCTGATCAATTAGTTTCTCCAATCCTTTTAATAGAAATGATGTCAGAGTTATTGATATGTAGGCCTTAGACAAGGTTTATGTTGGACGCTCTGGCTTTTGTATAAAAACCATTATGCTTTGTTTCCAGCTATTTGGTTTATGCGTCAAACTTACCTTGTAGAGGCAACATATATATGCGGAGCCAGTATTTTTATTGCCTGTTGCAAAAGCACAGGCAATACCTCATCTCGTTCTAGAGATTTGTATGGGTTGAAGGTTGCATATTGCTAATATTACTTTCTTTGTTGTGACTAACTGTTTTGCAGTTTCCCACTCTTGGCCGGAGACTATTCTTTGAGGGTTCGAGTTCGTGTGGGTTTGGTTTGCTGCATTCAGATTTGTTGGGAAATCAGGGAAGTGAGTTTTAGAAATTAATTCTGTTTCCAGACCAGTTTTAGTGTATTCCTCTGTTTGGGTTTTGAGAGTCGCCACAGGGTTCTTTTAGGATCTTCT